TTTTTTCAATAATCCTCAAGGTGCTACAGAACTTTCAATAACACCACTTGATTGTTTGGTAACACTTTATTTGAAGGGGGTTGAATAAGACTAACATGACATTTTCATTAACATGACATAACACCTGTCATGAACATGAATAAGCCTTCATGAATATTTATGACTGTTGTCATAAAGCGTCATTCGGTAAATAATGACACTTTTAATAAGTCGACATTATTCAAAATGTCTTTGTTATGACAACTTGACATTAAAAAGGAAATCATTACTGTTTAAACTTTACCTTTAATAACATAAAGTTACCTCATTTTTAAAGTGCAATCATAAATTATTTTATAACAAATTTATATCAGTAATGATTTCTTGGTTAATGTCAAGTTGTCATAACAAAGACATTTTGAATAATGTCAACTTTGTATTAAAAGTGTCATAATTTACCGAATGACACTTTATGACAACAGTCATAAATATTCATGAAGGCTTATTCATGTTCATGACAGGTGTTATGTCATGTTTATGACAGTGTCATGTCAGTCTTATTCACCCCCCTTCAAATAAAGTGTTACCGTTTTTTTATGCTTATTTGTGCATTTCATGGATTAAAACTAAATTCAGGCTGTTTATTTGCAATTCCTCTCAGTACTTCCCAGGATCAGATGAACCTCTTCAGTATCCATACCAGTATTCAGATGAGGCACAGAGCAACTCTGCAAACAGTACAGGTAACGAAGAATCTTTTCAATTTTCTACGACTGTGTCTGTTCTGGCTTCATTATGTATTTAGCTTCATCTTCTACAGATAATACATTCTGCAGTGCCATTTGAGATTAAAGGAACATTGTGTTTTTTCCTTTGATATCTAAACAATTTTTATCTCAACACCTTTATTTGTTATGCTTTGTTATAGGCTGACTTTTTAACTCTGTATTTTTATTTTGACAGAAATTATTTTTTAAGCTCAGTAAATATTCTGTTAAATCAGAGGGATGTAAAAGTAATCAAAGGAGATGTATATAATTTAAAATCTTGTATACCTTCTTGTTTATTGGATCTTAGTTTCATATATGGACTATACTGGGACCAGCACAAGCAACAGAAGTGATGTAAACATGGAACACAGTGATTCTCAAGGAAGCAACGACACTATCAAGATCACTCCTCAGTTTGCACCTCATTTCAAACCGAAGGTAAGGCCAACATTATTGTTGGGTTCTGGTTAGGCCTGTCATGATAACAAATTTTGCTGGGCGATTAATTGTCCCAGAAATTATTGGTAATATTGTTGTTTTCAGGGTTTCGCCCAGAAAACTTGCTAAGCCCGGTGGTTGGGGCGCCGAGGCAGTCCATCAGCGGTCCACCGTGTTTTTGTATTAAAAGATGTTAAGTAGACAGGAAATGTAAAAATATTACTGGGCAATTATATGTTACGGGAAAACATCGCCAGTGAAACGATATTTAAACCCACAACTGGTCTTAAAAACATCAAATAAAATAAAAAAAAACAATTAAAATGAATATTAATTATTTGCACTGTTTAATCCAAATTAAGTCAGTATCTCCATAAAACCGCTCAGCTTATAAGGGGCCCCATAAATACTAATATTTTATTCAGATTTCAGCATACATAAAATAAAAGATTTTAAATTGTTTAACATTTAAATATAAGATTTTAAGGACTTGGCAAGTTTACTTTGTAAAAGTTCAAAGAACAATTGTCATAGTTGGATTGTTTTGTTACCGCAGCTCCAATCTGATGGTATAAGTTTAATCTTGGAGTTTGAACTCTGTTTGTTCACAAATACAAATTAGTAAACTGCAATTATAATTTACTGCTCTCTAGGTTGGCCAGTTAAACTACTTACCCTCTCCCAGATTAAATCTTACATAGAAGCTGTTACAGGTGCTGATGTTTTTAGCAACAAAAGGGGCCCCTAAGATAAATTCTACTCAAGCCCTCATACAGTCTTGGACCGGCTAAGATGAGTTAAATCCACTGTCTATAGAGATGTGCAACAAATGGGAGATTTAATTTACTGCTGCTAATGTGGCTTTGGTAACTCTTCCATTTCATGTTTGTTGAGTTTTTAATAAGTGCCACAGAAACTGTTTTGGTTGTTTGAGTTTAAGGGACGAGAGTTTCAGATCTCTGCGCGGCCGTGTGCATTAGCTCTGGTTGACTAAGTGGACAAATGGTTTGATGCATTGTGTAACCGAAAAAATAATGCTAGAAAAAAATAATAAAATAATATAAAACCAGCGTGATGCATGACTACCAGGTGAGCACAAAAGCTCGTCACCGGTCTGACCCTGCATAATGAGGTTAACGCTGGTTCATTAACCACTAATGCACCGGCCAACCAGAACCACATACATAATGTGTGCGTGTTGAGATGTAAACACCTCTTTGTTCACAAAGATAAATCATTCTCACCACTCGCTCAACACACCTCTGAAAGCATGACTGCAAGTAATTCCTGCAGTTCACATACAACTGCGCAACCAGATCTAACGCAGTGGGGTTTAAACTCTTCCCTTGACGTAAAGTTCTGGAAAGAAACTTAATTCCTCACCGGTGGTTGAAGTAAATATCTACACAGGTCAGCCTGTGTCCAGTTTAAGTGAAAGGAGGCACCCGCGATCTGCGCTGAGGTAAACTTAAGAGATCAAACAGGGGTAGAGCACGAGGCAATGAACAGAGGCGCCAGCGGTGTGATTGGTCTGCTCTCCCGGCTTTAAAGGCATCAACTATAACCTTTCTTCTATAAACCTATCTTTTAGGAATAAATATGCTCTTCCAGTGAAACACTCAGAGTAACAGAGATGATTGCAATCCGGCTTTGGAAAACAAGCAATGCTTAGTCTGGCGTGGGGGCTAGTAAAGCATGGCCTGCCGTCAGGCTTGTAATACACTGGGGGAAACCCTGTGTTTTGAGACCATTGTTAACTAATATAACAATAATAAGGTTTGCAGGAAGTTGCTGCAGAAATGCTGAAGATGCTTTTTTTTTTGGCTCTAGTGGCCTTTATTTGATAGTTAAATGACAGGAAGGCGGGTAATGAGAGAAGGGGGAAAAGGTCACCAAGGCCGGGAATCGAACCTGCGACAGCTGCGTCGAGGGCTAAGGCCTCCGTATGTGGGTTGTGCTTAACCCCTGCGCCACCACAGCACACCCAAGATGCTACAGATTCTATAAGTCTGTTGCTGAAAGCATCATCTTTTCTACCGTCATCTTTGGGGCAGCAGCATCAGAACCAGGGAGCTAAAAGAAGAGGCTGTGTTCTTAAAACAGTCACGGAACATGGATCAGAGGTGGAACATTATCCGTGTGGAGTGTAATTTAGTGGTTGCTCGGATCACGTTCTGTGATAATGCTTCTTGTCTAGCTGCAGTACATCAGGATGCTACTGAAGGAACTCCTCTCTGCAGTCACAGTCTAGCATGATTTTAAAGATGGTCCTTCAGCTGTGACTTGGTTGGCATACATTTTGTCTCCCATCTCCTGTTGGAGAACTCTGGGAGCAATGTTCTCCATTGAGTTTGGTTGACTACAGGTGTACTCTCTCTAAGGTTCACAGAGTTCCTGGCTTACAGGGCAGTGTACCTGAGCTTCAATCTCCTCATACCTTTCTACTGCCCAGGTCACTTGGTTTGTGTACAGTTGGTTTATAAGGTGGTTTCCTCCTGTGAGATGTAAAGGTTGTGATCTGAGACTCTACAGCAGTGCTTCTCAATTCCAGTCCTCAGGCCCCCCTGCTCTGCATGTTTTAAATGTGCCTGTATTTCACAACAGCTGATCTAAATGATTGCATTACCTCTTCTGCAAGCATCAAGTGCTGCAGAAGCTTGTTAATCACCCAGGTGTGTGGCAGTAGGGAAACATGCAGGGGGGGGGGGGCTGAGGACCGGAATTGAGAAGCACTACTCTACAGGGATACAATTACCAGGTAAAGGTAAAGGCTCTTTGGTTTTGGCTTGAGTCCAGCTTTTAGGAGCTCACTTCACAAAAGACCTGACTATAGAACTTAAATGCCTTTTTCACCTCTCTTTATGCAAGTAATACAGTTTAATATCCTGATGGGTTTCCTTTTAATAATTGTTTTTGGAAGGAAATTATTGTTATCAACAATATCTCTTTTTCTTTCTTTATTTAGGGAGACCCACTGAGAACTTTACCCTTGTCCAGAGGGGGCAGTGTTGAGAGCCTGCCAGCAAGAACACAGTGCTTTGCATCCTCCGACAGCAAACGAATGAGTGCTGACCTGTCTGAGTTGGAGCCTACAATGCAGATTACACCTGCAGGTACAAGCAGACATCACACTGCACAAAAATATGAAGGGAGTATGAATTATTAAGAGATATTTACAGTTTTTATTGTTTGAGATGACTTTTAAGAGAGTTCTTTCCACAGACTGAAGTCATTTTCTCTTAATTTACCTGGATATTGTCACAACTCTGTAAGCTTCATATATCAATGTGTTAAGTTTGTTTTAAAGCTTAAAGGCTTGCAAGAAACAGTGGTCAGTCATGTTTTCCTCTACAGGCTGAGAAATAAAGCAGACACACCACTGCTTTCATTTATGCTTCAGCGTTTGCTGTGTTGTTTTCTAGGCTTTGATGCTGCTTTAACAAACTGTTTCTGTAATGTTCTCCACAATGTCAAGCATTGCAGATGAGTGCCTGCTGATGTTGTGCTCAGAAGTGTTGCACAGCACTGCTCCTGGAATGGGCAGGGTGCATGTTTTTCTTACAAGTTCATTCTCTGCTCTGCATGTACATGACCCATATTAGCAGTCATGTTGTGAGCCCAAAGTCTGTCTCAGTCTGCATGCTTGTTGTGTACGCAGCTGTATGTGTGTATGTGTGTTTTTGCAGCACGCAGCCAGTATAAGCCAGGCCATCGCAAAACTGCATCATTCGGGACCATTCTGGATGTCCCCAAGATCGTCGTCACAGGTATCACTGGATCCCTGGGCTTCCTGGTGACTGGACAGAGCTTGCTTGACTGAGCCTGTGGGTTGCTGTCAGCTTACATGGTTCTCTCATTTGTGTCAGTTTCTACTTGTTTATCACCACTAAATTTCCTGGCTGTTTAGTTTTCTGATTTACGGTTGTGTTTGTGCTGGCGCGAGGAAACCACACGTTGTCTCTCTCCTCATTGCTTTCTGATTTACTTTTTAGTTGACAAAACCAGAACATGAGTTACTATTAAACTTTCTCATCTGAGTTTGCAATTTCTAAAATCAGTTTTTAGTGGACTGTGACTTTTAATAATTCACTGGAAAATCAGTGAGAACATCACTACAAGTCAAGTGTGCAGATGAGTCAATTTTGCTAACTCATGGCTCTGTGTTCTGTTGTCTTCCTGTCTTGACTGCAATAAATCATGGGCACAAAGAGTAAATTGGCTCACCAGTTCTTTGGGCTTTGTCCTTGACTTTCATGCATAAAGGACTAAGAGAAAGCATGACTCTTTCTTCCTCTTTTTCTCTATTTAAATCCATTAACTTTGCAAAAGTCATTTTGATTAATTTCCTTCGCTTTGAGGGTCAGAGCTATTATTACTAGCAGAGATATGAATATGTAGGAATGGGGACAGCTCTGGGTGTCAGAAATGGCTTCCGTTCACAGCTCATATGAGAGACACTGAATTTGACTAGATAAAAGGTTAAGAAAGTCATTGTGTCTTTAGTGTCACTTTTATGCTTTTTATAATATGACAATTATGAACTTAATACCAAGAAGAAGTCTCCACTAATATTGATACTTGAATCTATTTTTGATAATGATTTAAAAAAAAAAAACAAAAAAAAAAACAATTTTTTTAGCTGATCTTTGTGATGCAGTCCAACTTCATCTGGTAAAGGGAGATCAAAATCATTGCTTTAGATCAGAGATGAACTCCTATCAAAATGCATTCTGATAGCAATATCCAATATTAACATTGCTGTTATGGCCAATAAGATGTATCAATTTTATATACCGGTGCATTTATATTTGTCATGATCTCATAGCCAGCCCGCATCTCTTTCCAAAACACACACACAAACACTAATCGTTGTTTTTCCACTCTTATTTTCTGGTAACTGTTTCTTAGATAGCTTCAGTATTCAATAGCCTACCTTGAAGGATTCATAAGATGATTTTCAAATCTGACATAGAAGGTCTACCTTATAATAAAACTATATAGAAAAGATTCTAAAAGTGAAGTTTAATTTGAAAAATGTACATTCGCATCCCACAGCACAAAGGGACATTATTTTGAACATCTTTTAGCACCTATGAGCCATTTGTGCAGCATAGCTATTCAAAGAGGTTCAACAATTCAAGTGTCAGTAACATCTAAACTTGTTTAACTCATAGTTTTACCTAGATCAGGGTTAAACTTTGTGTACATGAACTTGTTAAAATGTCAACATTGTAAATGTTTAGTTTAGCAAAAAGGAATTCAGAAAGTCTGCTCTGACGCGTTTTGTGTTGTGTGCTGTGTCCTTGTTTACATGTGTCCTCATGTTTCATGCTAAAGTGTTTCATAGAGCATAATATCAGCCAGAGTTAGATGAACCCTTACATCTGGTGTAGAATAAAATACCTGCAGAATCTGGTTATTATATAAGCTTGCAACAACACATTATGTCATCTTCTATGCAGATGTACCTTTAAATTTGGAACTATGATTCAGATGTGAACAATGAATACAAATTGATTTCTTTTAATCTTGTGATTAGAAGAATCCCAAAGCCCTGTTTCTGTTATTTTGTCAGATTTTTCAGAGAATAGCTGAAAATGTACTTAATTGTGGTCTATTGAGATATATATTGTTATTGTGACATGAAATTGTCCATATTGTGATATGAGATTTTTTTCCCCCATATTGGCCAGCACTAGATGGAAGATGTGTTGAATGCATGAAGAAAATGTGCAAAAAGTCAGAAATTCAAGGAAGCCCCTGAAGTCTCAGTAAAAAGCATCTCTGCTGCTCAGCATATCAATATTAGCAGTTTAAATTGATGACTTGTAAAAAAAAAAAAATGTGTGTGTGTGTGTGTGTGTGTGTGTGTGTGGGTGTGCGCCCAATAGATTTGTCCTTGACAATATGTATTGCACATATTTGTATGAGTGGTAAAAGCAGAGACTTTTACATAAAATGTAATGTTACAGCACATTAGTGGGTTATAATTCAAATTAAAAAATACTTTATTGATCCCAAAGAGAAATTAAATTTTGTTGTAACTCATTAGTTCAAAGTCTTCAAAGAGTTAATGCAGAGAGTGATGGCTGTTGGCAGGAAAGATCTCCTGTAGTGGTCTGTATTACAGTAAATCTGAAGAAGAAGCCTCTCAACTTGTGTCCTATGGAAAATCTTTGTAATCTGACATGAATTTCATATTAATAAAAATACAGTATATATGCGAGGACAACGGTTGACGTTTTAATACTTTTTACATGCTACATATCTTCTGTGGCTGGTTAAAACATGGACACCAGCAGTACCTTTCAGTTCTGTTCAGCCATGTTGGCCAAACATTTGTTCATTTGCCTTTAATTCAGCCCAGGCTGTCAGTGCACACTCATTAATAGAAGCTGTTGTGGATTAAAGTGATTACTGGAGAAAACATTTTAGTCTGCCTTCAGACTGGGATTCACCTTCCAGCAGGACAGTGAGGCTAAACATGCAATCAGACTTGCATATATAAGTCTGATTACTTACTTATATTGATCCAGATTTAGTTCTGGATCAAAGTCCAGAACTAAATCTAATCTAAAATCTTTGGCAAAACAGTGACTGGCCACAGACACTCACCAGTATCTGAGTGTGCAGGTTTCCAAGATTCAGTTTTTAAAATCGCTAAAATGGCACCGAAATACTGTAATTGCACTAAAACATGATTCTATTGAGATAAAGATGCATGCCACACTCCTCAGATTTGAATTTACAAGAAACAGCTGAAACCATATTTCCTTTGCCTATCTCATTACAACCATATTCTGCTTTTTGTTGATTTTTCACATCAAAGCAAAGAAAGATCTTGAGGTTTGTGGTTGTGTCATATTTGGAAGCTTGACCAACACAGATGTATGAATGCACCTGTATGTGTGTGCTGGACTGGAAGCAATGAAAGCTCTCTTCACAAACCTCCAACTCTATAGTGTATTTTGGGAGGCCTGAACATAAACCAATGATTTAGTCCCATGTGGAGCAACAGCAGGGAATGCAGCTCCCACCACAGCTTCCTGATCCTCTCAGGGTCTCATTCTGTCCCTTGTTTTTGCTTGCCTTGTCCTCTTGTCCACAGCCACCTGCGAGGCTCAAAGACGCCGGTCTGTCCAAGATCTGCCAGCTATTGGCACAGAGTCCAGTCAGGTAAGGCAGTAGTAGCATCATCTGGAATTGATATTTCTAATTTCAATACAGATTGTTGATGTGTTGTGTGATATTAACTTGCCAAGAGGCAGAAATTGGAATTCATTGTGATATTTGTAATCCTGCTTTGAAATCTAGTGAAGTTTTTTTCACAAATGACAATGAGAAAATTTGTCAGGATCGTAGAGTCAGTGATGTGGTGCTCAATCATGTATTATACTATGAGGGTCACTACCGTTTCATCAGAGAAACAAATCAATCTGAGTTTGATTTGTTGCGACCAGAATAATTTAGTACATGAGAAATGTTGAGCTCATCCACAAAGATGTTCACACCTTTGTTAGCAATGCTTCACAAGAAAGTAGAAAAGGATCAACTTTTGTTGCTGTTGTTATGGAAAGATTTTTCTTTCACTGTTGTTTATCACAGTCCACGTATCAAGTCCAGAACACACTGATGTGAATTAGGGAAACCTCCTGGGAGAGAGGCTTTTAGGTCAAAATGGGTAGCTTTATATTGCATTAATGTTGAAATGTTGACAGTCCTAGTGTTTTTTTTAATGTGTGATGAACTGCATGTTTTAGTTCATTTTTACTTCAGGCAGTCTGTGTGTGTGAGGGTTCTCTGTTTACTGTGTGTTTTTCCTGTTTCAGGGGAGCAGGAGCAGCAGCCGCTCCTCCAGTCCCAGTGTGAGGCCACCTGACAAGTCGAACAGCAGAAGCTACTTCCCCCATGACGATCCCACAGGTGATCCCACACTTGGAACACAAACATCATCTGGACATCAGCTTGTCTTACCTAAGATTTCTAATGAAAACCTCTGCATGACATTACTTGTGCACTGTTGCTTCTGTTCACTACCTTGTACATTTTCTTCACACATTTTATATTGATACTAAAAGTAATAAGTTTTGACCCCAGCACCATCTTCCACATGATTGTTGAGTTCAGTACATGGCCTTTGGAGAAATTTAAACAATATCTTGGATGGCTTTCTTTCAGTTGTGGTCCTCTTTGTGCAACTCTTTTATAAAAGAGTTAGAGTTGTAGTGTGCACACTTATTAATTGATTAATTAATTAATGCTTGTCCTAACAACAAATTTTATAATTTGAGCTGTGCAATTCTCTCCTTGCCTAGCCAGTCAGTTGAGGTGTTGCTCGGCAGAACATGCCTCCATGTCATACTCTACACATGAGCTGATTGGTTGGACAGATCTCTGGGAGATGTTGTTGTAGAACAGGGGTGGACAAATCCAGGCCTCAAGAGCCGCAGTCCTGAAACCGTTATATGTGTCTTTGCTTCAACACACCTGAGTCAAAGAATGAGGTCATTAGCAGGACACTGGAGAACTTGACTGCACTTTGGAGGTGATTCAACTATTTGATTGAAATATGTTGAACCAGGGAGACATGTATGAGTTGCAGGAGGACCGGCCCTCCAGAACCTGGATTCTACCACTGTGGTAGAACCTAGCTCTGCTGAGCTCTCTGGTCTGCATGATGCTGGATGTTCTCCAACTAACGTCTGAGACCTTCAAGGAACACCTGTGCTTCCAGCACTGTACAGAGATTAATCACACACAGGTCACTCCATTTCCTTATTCAGTGACTTCTGAAAGCCGTTGGAGACATTCTGGACTTTGTCTTTGCGAATCACCGTTTATATTTGTACTTGTAAAACTTCTAAAAAACATATTTCGGGTTCAACTCCACTTTACAATTAGGGCTGTAGTGATACAATAATCTCACGATACGATACGATACGCGATATTCTGCCCATGATATGCAGGGGCGGATCTAGCAAAAATATTTATGGGGTGGCAAGAGGGGGGCAGGGATTTTTTCAGGGGTGGCAGCATATGCCAGTATCTAAGTATGAATCTAGATAGAGATGTGCCGATACCGTGATCGGCGATCACCGATCATACACTTTTTCACGTAAATCGGCCGATCGATCGGCACACCTCTAATAGATAGATAATATGTCTCACTCTCACATTTGGCTTACACAGACCTAACATTAGACTTAATTTACTTGTTGCAAAATATTGTTTTTAACTTGCATTGTTTCAAAATGAGCTTCATGTAGCACTGAGGATTAAATATAATTTCTTAATATAGTATAGTTAATTATTTTTATGTATTTCATACTGCTGCTAATTGATATCTATTACTGGATTGGACTAGTCTCTATGTGATTCATTGTGTCCAGAAAACCATTTTATCTCAATGCAGGACAAGCAGAAATCTGTCACAAAAATATTAGTAGCGCTATCATTTGTTATCAGGTATACTATTAAATACGACTTAAAATAAAGATGAGAAAACTGATGTTTGATAAATTGTCCATGATACAAATCTATAAACAGTGTGATTTCTGTTAGTTCTGTCAAGATGCAAAAGGGGAGGATTTTTCTTATGTTGGTCAATCGTTTTATTTTCAATGCTGTAGGAACCGTAGTTTGACGACTGTTATAAATATCACCACGTTTTACAAACAAAGGGGATTATTTCAGTTTTTGTCGCTTGTTTAACTTTTAGGAATTGCAGCTGCTGCAGTGCGTCACAATAAAGTTGCAATAAAGCTGATAAACAGGTGAAGGACCAAACTAGACAGAACCACTTCAGGGTTTCCTCCAGAAAACTTGCTAAGCCCGGTGGTCAGGGCGTCGAGGCGGTCCACCGGTGGTCCACCGTGTTTTTGTATTAAAAGATGTTAAGTTGACAGGAAATGTAAAAGTATTACTGTTTAATTATATGTTACGGGAAAAGATCTCCAGTGAAATGCTATTTAAACCAACTGGTCTAAAAACAACAAATTTGCACTTCTGTTTAATCCAAATTAAGTCAGTGGCTCCATCGGGCCCCCAAGGGTGTCAGGGGCCCCATAAACACTAATATTTTAAAACCGACCACAAATACATAAATGTTTATTGAGATTATCAATGCTGTTAAATTTTATTCATTTTTTTAGGCATACATAAATTAAATGATTTTAAATTGTTTAACATTTAAATACAAGATTTTAAGGAGCTGGCAAGTTTACTTTGTAAAACTTCAAAGAACAATATTCATAGTTAGATTGTTTTGTTACCATAGCAACAATCTGATGCTGTCTGTTTAATCTTTGAATTTACAAATACAAATTAGTAAACTGCGATTATAACTTATTGCTTTTTAGACTGGCCAATTAAACTACTCCCTTGTCCCATATTTCACTAAATCTAACACAGAAGCTGTTAGAGCTGCTGGTATTTTTAGCAACAAAAGGGGCCCCTAAATCAAATTCTGCTCAAGGCCTCACGCAGCCTTGGACCGGCCCTGCATGATGAGGTAATCTGCTGCACTACGCAGAGATGCGCAGCAACGGGAGATTCAATTCAATGCTGCTAATGTGGCTTTAGTAACTCTTTCATTTCGTGTCTGTTGAGTTTTTAATAAGCGTCACAGAAACTATTCTGGTTGGTCGAGTTTATGGGACTCGACCATGTCTGGAGTTTCTCAGATCTCCGCGCGCATTAACTCTAAGTAGACAACGCATTTGA